CAGTCCCTCCACGGCTGCTGGCCCCCTGTCTCAGTGTCGTAGTGGAGAATTTGCTGGTCGTCCACGTAGCCCACAGCAATGAAAGCGGGCACAGTCCGGGCTGGGATTCGACACCCCAGTGCAGAAATGCCAGTAGGAGTGGGAGCCTGCGGGAGAGCGACTGCGGTTAGCACTAGCTGGGGCAGATGCCAGTGCCCTCGGGTGCTTGCTGTGCCCTCCTGGAGGGGCCAGAGAGGAGGGACATGGGGCAGCACCAGGCTGGAGTGGAGGTGCAGAGCGGAGGGAGCGGTGGCGCCAACAGGAGAGGGCAGAGCCGACTGCATGTGGAGCAGGGCCCGGGGAGGAGGGACAGGACCGACCCAGCAGGACACAGGCCTGGCCTGGAGGGGCCACACACGGTGTCCCACAGCCCCCTCGTGCTGCCCCGCACCCTCCGGCCCAGCTACGAGCCCCACACAGCCCGGGCACTCGGCCCACCCTGCTCCTGGGGAGCCCTCGTGCACCCGAGTCAGGGCCTGGGCCTGGGCCTGGGCTCAGCCCCCCTCAGGCCTTGGTCCTGCTACATGGTCGGGGCTGGGGCCGGAGGGCCCCTGCAGAGCAGACGAGGGTTTGGCTGGACAAGCAGCTTCTCCTGGGCTTGCACCCATCCGCCGTCCCCGTCAGAGGCAGCGGGTCCTCTCTTCCCGCGCACCAGCAGCTCCCCGGGCAGGAACGGCCGTGCTGGGAGAGGGGAGGGTGCTGCGTGCCTGTCCATGGGGTGCTGCGCCCAGGGGCGGCCCCAGGGAATGGGCAGCGCTGTCCTACCCCCAGCTTGGCTGTGCCCACAAGGTCTGCATCCGGACCCTGGCTCTGTCCTCCCCCCGGCCCAGGACAGGCGCTGCCACTCACCGGCGCTGGTTCCTGGCACGGCTGCAGCGCCCACGAGCAGCAGCAAGACCAGCAGCTGGGAGCCTGGCGCCACCTTCGCAGCAGCTTCGTGCGGCGCTTCTGCCCGTTGTGCACAGACATTGCGGGTGCTCCCGCGCAGCGACAGGTGCAGTGGGCCGTGGCGCAGCCCGCAGGGCGCTGCAGGGTCACTGCGCGGTGCGGGGGGCGACGGGGCCACGTGAGCCGGGCCCAGGGCCCAGGATTCCCGCTGCGGCGCGGCCCTGGCCATCGGCTGTGGGGACGAGGCTCAATTTGGTTCCTTCTCCTTAA